CCTAATTGAAACCGTCACGCTGAGACTGAACAAAAATAAACTGCGAAAATGCATATTTTAAAAAGGGAAGTCAAACAAGGGGACATGCTGTCACCAAAGTTATTCACAATGACACTGGAAAGTGCTTTAAAAAATTGGATTGGGTAAACAGATTTGCTGGTAACATGGTCATGATATCGTCCACGGCGAATGAAGTATAGGAAATGTCAATAACTTATTTGGTATGTAACACGATTTTTGTTCCTGGGTAGTAAGTCTTATTTTCTAATTGCTTATGCCGCAAAAGTATAGAAATGGCTATGATTCCCCACAAACGTTGCTTTTGTTACAAGGACTTTACGTGAAGGAATGACACAAATGTACACGTTTTCTCATTGAAAATAGGTAAATAAAAAAAATATCACTATCCTGATCACAAAACCAAAGTTTGTGTGGAATAATAGCCATTTTCTGTACTTTTGAGGCATAACAATTAGAAAATAACACTTACTACCCCGGAACAAACAAAAACAACGAAAACAATTGTCAATAGCATGGACTTAAAAATGGCATATTTCTTACACGACATTTCAGGCAACGGCCTTTTTCATATTAGACAAGCGTAAAACGGAAAACTATATATAGAAATATTAGAGAAACAAAAATGGCGTACAACACGTCTGCTAAACAGATGTGTTTGTCAGAGGGACACAACTGAAAGACAGCAGAACATATATGCCTCGAGATTAAAACCGAAAAGCAACATCCCTTCTGAGGCGTATTAGCGGCTCACTGCACGAATTCTGCGCACACTATAAATAGGCTTTCTCGTTTGTGTATTACCAATGTGTCTAAAGAGACAGTTTGTTTAATCAGTGTGCACAACCTTATGACTTATGGATCAGCAAAAGCCTGGATACTGATTAAGGAGGTGGAACAAGAACCTCAGAAGTGTTTCCAAATGCATGGAGCGATGCATGCTTGGGATTATGCCGAGTGCCCGAAAGAGGAACACATGGATTTGATAACGTAATTTTGATTGTTAACAGCAAGTGGATTTGGGCAGGAAGGATTGTCACCAAGAGACCCGTTAGCCATGGAGATTGAGATGGACTCGTTGTGTACAGGTGCTGGGTGGATTTTTGCATCCTGGGACCGTGAAGGATGGCGGCACACTTGAGGAGGCCTTCATCCAGCAGTGGTTTTATCGTGGCTGATGTTTACGAATGTTGCGAATAGTTATATTGGACCAGTAAATGGCATTCAACCAATCCTGCTACATAGGAGAAGCACAATAAGGATTATAGCAGCTTTGAGACGAGCTCGCCTCTGTCTGGTAGTCATGGCAAAAGATTGTCTGGTATGCCTGGCAGGCGTTAGGTCGGCCTGCATAATAATGCGCGGTGCTCACAGTGACAACACGCTAGTCAACGAGGCCGAGAGAAGTTGTTCAAGCTACCGCAATTCCGCAACAGCATGTGGCAGAGATATTTCTGAATTTCTGCATGAGCCAAGGGCCATGCATCGCTGTAACAATACATTGTTGGCATCATGTATAAAACAAATTCACCAATCTTGTAATAATAATAATAATCATCTGACAATGAGGGTTTTTTTTTCTCAACAGGGTCGTGTGTGGAGTGTTTGGTCCGTGTAATGGTTAGCAGACTTGAATTGCAATTTAGAGGGCGTTCGCTCGATTTTGCAATGTTGCCATTGAAACAATGAACAAGTTTATTCAGTCCACCCAGGGAGTATAAATGGACGCATGACAGGTAGTCGATCGGCAATTGGCTTGATGGGGTAAAGTGTGGGTACTCCGATCTCTTCTGAGATATCTGGCTAGTGGAGAAAAAAGTAGGCCAAATACAGTGGCAGTTTCAACAATATTACAATTGTGTTATCAGCATTGGCAAAAACAAATGTTTATTTGTAACTACTGGAGTCATGGCAACATCAATTTGAGCCACAGAATGGCCTTTGAAGAACTTATTTATCCGTACAAGGGGTACACCTCTTGTGTGTAAAGAAACAATATTCTCATCATACCAGATATATAATAATAATTTTGAGCTGGCATAGGCTAAATGCAGTTAAATCCCAAGTATGATTTTGTTATTTTTTTTGCGTTTATTCTTGTGGCTGGGCTGAGACCATAAGCCCACTAAACTTTAGAACTCGGTTCAATCACAGATGACTGCCATATTTAAACCCACAATGTCACCGATGCCAGCTCAGTGCTCTGACACAGTTTTAGTCCTCTTAGCTACACCCCCATCCATCTCACTCAAAGTATTGTTTGATATGGGGAGAGGCTGGGAGTATACTTTACTGAGCGATTTGTTTTTTTTTTCTGAGTGCAGTTGAAAAAAACATCGAATACAGCAATTAATAAAGCATAACTTGACGATTAAATTACAGCGAAACGAAAAATTATCTCCCAAAAACCCATGCTCAAAACATGTACATTTAAATCTTGACTTAAAGCTTTCGTGACTGCAGGAATTCATATTCTCTGGGTCTTTCGGCAAAGTCACGTAGTCAAAAAACCTATCTACGTGACTTTACCGAAAGACCCAATGAACCTGTACAAGACCCAAAGAACATGTACATTTAATTACGACTAATGAAAACCCATTCGCATTGCTTCATTGTAAGTTATTTTCCAGAGTCGACACGAAGTGGTTTCTAAATGAGATTATGTGCGCTTGTGTGAGACTAAGGCTTTTTGCCCACATACACATTTCTCATCGTTACTGCTACGGGGCTGCATCAGCGTTTAATATTTTTAAGTAAATATTTTTTTATTATTAAATCTGTGCCAGGAAAGAAAAAATCAATGGGTCAGCTGTTCAACAGCTTGTACTATTCCCTATTTTAATGTTTTGGTTTTTTTTACACACAAATCACTGTAATGCATGCAAACTAATACGGCATGCCCACACATTATATCGACAGTTGATGTGTGAAGTGACATTCTGTTTACAATTTTTGCAGCAACCGATGTTGGTTTCATTCAATCATTAAAATGTTCTTGATCATATGCTCGACGCTTTGTATGAGTGTTTATGAAGCAAATGATTTTTGTTTTGTTACATTTGCTGCCACACATAGGTGTATTTTTTGTTCACTAATTATTAATTGAAAGTGTCACATAGTGATGTAATTTACTTGTCACATTACATTTAAGTATACAATTTTAAAAAAGCAAACACTATGTTCATAACTAATGTCTGGTATAGGAGGGAGCTGTGGTGGTGAGATGTTAAATACCTTGCCTGGTAAGCAGGCCGCGAGTTGGATCCCGACTGACGCCTGCACATTGGGAGTGTGCATTTCGCTCTGCCCGTGATGGCGTGGATTTTTGTCCCGGTCCTCCAGGTTTTCCCCACCACGTTAGAAACATGCGTTCACAGTAGTTGGCTGCTATAAATTTCCACACAAGCTTTGTCGTCGAGCTATTATGTGTGGCTCAGGATGCTTCTGAAAAAGAGCAAAACAGCTAAATGGGCCTTACCTGGTACGATCAAACATAGTTTATAGTTTCATAGTTGTAGTTTGGTGCAGTGATTAGTGGGTGATCTCAACCAGTCCTGGTTGCCCCCTTTCAAAGGACACACGAACTGAATGATACGAATAAGAATGCGGTAATAAAATGCATTAACCTGATCATAACCTTGCCGACCAAATCATTTTTAAAAACATGACATTTTCTCCACACCCAAGTGTTACAATAACCAATTATACTGGGAACAAAAGGAACATGTTTTTACATTTATCTCGTTCGGTGGAGCAGTGGCGCAGCACAAAAGCGCACTCCACTGTGAACCTGGAGACCCGAATTAAATGTGGACGGAAGTCTGAACCACTTCTGGCTCCAACCGTTTCATACACCCGCACTGACCAATGTGGCGAAGTATGGTCAAACAATCCCCATAACCGATGCGAAGTGGGGAGGCCTTAATCCAGCAGAGTAGAAAAGGTCTGTGGATAATAAAGAACGCCTAGTAAATATATATTTAAAAACACTGACAATAAACCGAATCCCGTTCATATCGTGATAGCTGCGGGCAAGCAACAACGTGCAGTGCTTACCTCCAGATCTCCATACACGACAAATTGTGCAATGCCCCTGGATAACCGTTCACTATATCGATTGTGGACAATAAAACCCAGGGTGGTTTAATTGCATCGCATTTTATTGGTTGTGCCTAGCTTGCCACGGGCATAAACTCAGTTTGTGCAAAGCTGTGATACGGAGGGGCTAGAAATCAGAGCTCATCGTTACCGCAAGCTGTCACTGGAAAGCAATGTACAAGGCGCAGATAGCTGCACACGTAGCCTACACAATATCAAAACGGCACCGCCGTCATCTAGCATCTGATACGATGCCCTTGCCTGAGAAATATAAAGCTCACGCTGTCCTCTTTATGTCAAAAAAGACATCGCTGTAGTTTATAGTCAAATTAGATCATGTGGGAGTCTTTTTTTAGGCTGACGTATCGACACCATTAAGTCAAGAAGGTCACATTGCTCACTACCATTTAATGGGTGTTTAAAGCATTGAACACGCTGTATATATGTATTATCGTTTACAGTGCATAGCATGCCAATTACTGCCATTGCATTGCTTTAGAGGAAATACACTGCCTTATTAGCAACGCGTGTGTGATGTACAATTCTTCAAAGCGTTTATCCCCAACCTACCTAGTAAACTGCTCATTAGTACGGGTGCAGGAATTAAAACCGCAACCACGCAGCAGCGTTTCAGCACCTTGGACAGTTCATTAGCACCGCATCAAGGCACCACGTATTTGCCTAAGCGACTCCCAGGCAAACGTTTCGTATTTCAACGAATGGACTTTAAATGTTGCACTAAAATGTACACCCAACGCGCGTCTCCCCCCCCTCCCCCCCCCACACTCTGAATTTCTTAGGGCTTTGGATGAATTTTCACACGCCGTGTGTGAGAAATTAATCGATGTCCGACGCATCTAGATGTGCCATTACATAAGCATTGTGTAAATGAAGTGAAGCGATAAGACACCGCACGTGCTCGGCACATGTCTTGTATACTCCGGTTTAATTAGAACATAATACAATCTTGCTGTTGATGATGATGATGTTGAATTTGTTGTTGTTGACGTGAACACTTTTAAAGGGTGCATCTGCATATTATGGACCACTTGTTTCCCTCTGGATCTGTTCCGCAGTACTTGTGCAAGATTACATGAGGATTAACACGTGACAGTGCAGCCTATACAAACTATAATAACTGTGAAAATCTGATAAACGGTAGTTTTCAGATTTTTGTTTCTTTTAACATATTGGTATCCCATAGGGGTGCACAATATTGACCAGATGCGAATGTGCAGAGACTAGCCAGCAAAATCTGACACCCGCTGGCATCTTAAATTATTCATTAACGTACAGAGCTGGTGAGAAAACAATAATGAGATCGTGGTAAACAGCCCCAGTTGCTTTTGAAAAGAAAGGCTCTCCCCAACGCACGCCTATGTGCCCGCGGTTATAAAGCGAGCAGATAACACGTACGTCACTGTGCAGTGCAGCAGAGGGAGGAAGAAGAAAAAAAAAACCGGAGCAGCGACTCGGCGACTAGAAAGAGGCAACAGCATTTAAGGGGCTGGCCGTGTGCGGGTGTGCAGTCTCCACTGGACCCTTGCGCTGTGACAGCAACCGCGTCCTCCCACACGGCCACCTCCTCGCCTTCTGCAATAAACCATCACCTCCACGAGCCACTACCGTCATCCACAACCACCCCGGTCAACTGCGACGCTCTGCCAACAAGCCCTGGCTTTTAGGCAAAAAAACACGCCGTCTCGCTGCAGAGGGGGTTCTCAGCGGAACGATTCATCGAGCAGAGATGACAACTGCAGGCGGTTTGGCTGGAGATCACCACGCAGAATGCCTGCCTCTCTGGGAGGGCGCTGTGCATCTGAATTGTGTTACGATTTCGAGACGAGACGCGCTCAGCGACGCCGTTAACCATCTCGTCGGCTCATCTTTTCTCGCGAATCATACCGAGGCTCTCACGATGATCACAACGGTGCCGTGGTGGTTAATGAAGCAAATATAAAAAACGGAGAGTTTACGCCTCAAAATTGTGACCAAAAAAATAAGGAGACATGGACGTTGGGGACACCCTGCTGTCGCTGTTCATCGTCGTGGTACTGATCGTGTCTTTCCTGTCGAACCTCGTTGTGTTGGTATGCTACGTGTACAGCTCGGAAATTCGCAGGCAAGTGCCCAGCATATTCACCATTAACCTGACCGTGTGCAACTTAATAATGACGCTCTTCAACATGCCGCTTACACTGGCCGGGGTCATCACTCAGGAACAACCGTTCGACGACTGCCTGTGCCAGGTGTTGGGATTCACAGAGACCTTTCTGACCACGAACACCATGCTGAGCATGGCGGCGCTCAGCCTGGACCGCTGGGTCGCGGTGGTCTTCCCCCTGAGCTACACCACCAAGATGAGCTACAAGGACGCGGCCGTCATCATGAGCTACACGTGGATCCACTCGCTGTGCTTTCCCTTGGTGGCCACATATTTCAAGTGGTTCGACTACCATCGGAACTATGCCTCGTGCACCATGTGGGCCAAAGACAGCGAGTGGCTGCCCTTCTCGACCATGACGGTGGTGTACCACGGCACCACCTTCCTGCTGTCGCTGGTCGTGCTCTGCGTCACCTACATGAAGGTGCTCAAAGTGGCGCGTTTTCACTGCAAGAGGATCGACATCATCACGATGCAGACCCTCGTGCTGCTGGTGGACATCCATCCCAGGTAACGGCTCGTCCATTCGCCCCACCCCCCTCCCCCCTCCTTCCCACCCACCCACCGTGCGTAATAATACAGCGAGGACGTCACCTCAAGTCACCACCTCGCGCGCGACCCCAGGCGAACGCCAAGTGCGCGTCCAGGCGATGTTTGGTATTGGGGTCAATGTTTTCTGTGTTACACAACGTGTTACCATTGTCTGCGGGCCGCATTGTTGAATATTGAGTGCAACCCGACGCGACACCGTCACAACGATTCAATCCTCACATCTCGTGGTTCCATTCCAGTAACAAGCAAAATAACCGCATGCTTCAAATAGGCCTTCAGTGCAACTATTTCAATGCTCTCAATTATTGCATAATGTGGGATTTAGAAAATACAGTACAAACGTAATCGAAAGCCGGCTTAACCAACTTTTATTGGCTTGAGCTTTACGCTTCACGGAAGACAAATTACCCTCTTCACCGATTATGAGGAACGTATATTTGAGGGTTAGCGCATGGCTTCAAACAATGCAGACCTTCAAATGGACCCCTGCTCCTATGAACGAAACCCATCAACCGCCGGGTCATAATTGTCGGAGGGAAAAGTTCGACGCATTTTGTTTCTTTTCGGATGTTTCTAGTTAGCATAAGTATGATGTGCCACAACTAACAACTTTATAGATATTCCACAAGTAACATTGACATCAAGCTACACATTTACGTCGGTCATTTAACTTAGTATAAATATTCAGCCTTCGACGGTATGTATAAGACAAAGCACATATGCCCTTTGATTTGCGGTCAAATAAATTCCCTTGTCGATCTCATTGTGTCGGATTAAACGTTTTACTCAAAGCATGGTTTCGTTTGAAAGTGCACGTACCGACGTCACCAGCAAGTCAACTTCCATCGCCGAGATTTAGTTTGATAGGAAATCAGATACACGGGCAGACCAAACAAAGAACACAATCACGCGTTATCTCACAACAAGCGTCACGGTGCACATCAATTAGTTATCAATAAAGGTGGAGCCCTGCATTTGCTTGTTCACGCTACTGCTGCCGAAAGGGCCTGCTCTAGGAATCAGCTCTCAATAATCCCTCTTTAGGGCTCCCCTGTGGAGGATATTTTGCTTTGGCTTTCTCTTTCACGCTTTCCAGATAGGTCTTGGAAGGAGGTGGGGGAACCCACGCTTTACCCCATCACCATTACGCGACCTGCCGATTGACCAACTCGTTCATACTGCTGGGTGGACAGGCGGGGTACATAACAAACAAAAACACACGCATTGTCATAACTGCCGCGACTGGAGGACGAATACAACAACCGGCGAACTCTGGATTGCACGTTCATTACGCTCACAACCATCAACACCACGGCAGCGTCCAACAGTTAATCATTACTCATCTATCAAACCTCACATTTCTCAATACAGCGAACAGGTGGGCGATTAAGAGTGCGTTGAAGCAGGGGGTGGGGGGAGGAGATTGCGCGCGCGCTAACGACTGAATGCGTGCGCAGTGTCAAGCAGCGCTGCCTGGTGGAGCAGAAGAAGCGGCGACAGCGCGCGACGAGGAAAGTCAGCACCTTCATCGGCACGTTCGTCCTTTGCTTTGCGCCCTACGTGATCACCAGGTTAGCGCGATTTCACACTGCGTATCGCACCACCGCCCCCCCCCCCCTCCCCCGATGAGCACGGTTGGCTTCGTACGGCGCGTAAGAAGTTCAGCATACGTACGTGTACATGTTTCTCTTCCACATGCGTTGTGTTCACGCTTATCAATCGCCGGCGGGTGATGGTTGCCACCCGTTCTGGTTTTCCCAGGATCGTACCATCCCCCCCCTCCCCACCCCTTTTTCTGTTTCAGGTGAATAATTTTTTGGGTAATATTTTCATTGGCAGGCGTGCATGAGCACAAATGACAAAAAAACCACATTCGTCAATAGCACGGCACTAACAGGGGGAAAACATGTACAGTATAATAGACTTTTCGGCAATGTCCCTTCATTGGACATATATCATGTGTGAAAAAAAACCCGGTTTACGTTGGGAATGCGTTCCTGAAAGGTGGGACGAATATTGAAACGAAGTAAATTAAAGTCATGTTTCCACGAGAGTCCAACAAAGATAACAGAGGGTACGGTGAAGCTCGTGTGTTAATGCGCGCATCTTCATCCAATACGTATCTACAACGTTACATTAATTATATGTTGTACTCAACAGTACATTACATTTCTTTAAGAGTCTGCATGTTCTCCCCGTAGTTGTGGATTTTTCTCCGGGTCCTGCGGTTTTTCCCTCCACATTTAAAATCAACGTGCGTGAAGGGTATTTTTGGCTGCTATAAATGTCCACGTGATGAGCCACTTCGTTGAGCTATCATTTATGACCAGGTACCTTACGAAAAACAAAAAAGCTATATAGCTCAGTGGACCTTACCTGGTGAAGTATTTCGTGTCCAGGGCAGATGAAGGCAAAAGGCGAGAAAGGAGGGATGATGCCGTCAGTGACGTTTCAGTTTTCAGTTTCATGTATTAGGTATAACCCTGTGAGCCATGCGGCTCTTGACTCGGGTGCAACCGCAACAAAACAAAAACATGAACAAGAAAACATCTTAAAGTGACTACACGCAACAGAAAAATCCTGGAAAAAAACAGCAAAGTCTTCCAGGAAAAGCACCTATTTCAACGCTGCGTGCAATCCCAGTGGGATGCAAGTCTAACAATAACAACCATAAGACAATGTAGATTAAAGTTATCAGGCTAACTCTGTACTACAACAAACAAACATGGCTAAATCAAAACGTTTTCAAAATCACCAAAATGAAGCTATAAAAACAATGTAACATTGATCATAGGAACTGTGATTCAAATTTAACAATAAACAGTGACATAAGTGTGGAGACGAGGCGACGCTAATCAGGGAGTGTGATTTAAGAAACTAACGACGCATTCACGAAACGACGTAAACGGAGGGAGACGTGAATCGTGGTGTTACTGTAATATACATTTGGGAGCAGTGCTATTGACGAATGCGTTGAGTTTTTTTTGTTACTGGTCATTTTGCGGGAGCTTTTCTGGGAAATCCCACGTCTTCCAGAGGTGTTGAGTCCTTTGTCATACGCGTAAATCATCCAACACTCGGGACGATGCCTGTTTTAGATGCGGTTCTTCACGCTTCCTGTCGTGAGACATCCTTGTTCCCCACGATGCATCCCGCTTTTTGTTCCATCGCTGGTGGCAAATCCCACGGCAAGTCCACCCACGTGATGTACACGTGTGCCGGGGGAAACGTTTCCTTCCCCGATAGCACGTCTTTAGTCGTTGCGTCATGAATAATTCAACCGCGAGAACATTCATTCCTGCGATCGATTTAATCGCTGCAAACTTTACGATTGTTTTTTTCTACCGATAAATGTGTCAATGTTATCACTCCCGGCTCGCATGAATGTCATCGGCTGCGTTTTTAACAAAAATAAACAAATAAAAAAATCACCCCGATAGCGTGTTCTCTCGTATTGCAATAACAATACTAACAGTATAGAAATGAGGGCATTTGGCCACGTGTGTAGATTAGATCACTGGAACACGTCTCCCTGGTGGACTGACCCAGCGATGGATGTATGCGGCCTCGTGTCTAAGCGAGGCAACAGAACGGACACTCTTGGGCCCTACGACGCCCATCCCCCCCCCACCCCCCGGGACACTCCACATATCTTTCAGGCGATAACTAGCAGCTCACTTTAAACATGTAGTCTTTCGCAACCAATATTATACAGAGGTTTTTTTCTTAGGGTTAGATTGCGTAAATATAAATGTGTCGTTAAACCCGCCACCATCCGACACAGCCAATTTGTAAGGTTTAATCACATAAACAACACATGACAATGTATGTGCATCGCGCATGCGCGTTGTGCATGCATGTTATGTATGTTGATTACCCTATTAATATGTATGTTGATTACCATATTAATGACCCAACCGGTAATGGACTTCCATTTTAATTTATATGCATCGATTCCCCCCCCCCCCCCCACCTGGTCTGCGCACCTTATTAGCTCGCTAATGAGAACACCACATTTATCCCTCTATTTAAGACCGAGACAGGAGGATTGCTCCACAACTTTGGCTGTCACCTGAGGATGCTGGTTGTAATTACCGGCGAAACGCCGTACTCGAATTGTCAATGTTGTGGGTTTACTCTCTAACACACCGGTGTGCTGCGCTAGAAACGAATTCCCATATATTTTGTTTACGTGACAACCCTTACTAATTGGCTGCGTCGGGTGGTGGCGGGTTTAACAACACATTTCTATTTACGCGATCTAAGCCAAACCACCCCTCCCCCCTATATTATGGATAGATGCTCCCTCGAGATGGAGGGCCCGTTCCGCCGGCAGTGACGCGAGCAAGACATTGCGGGGCTGAAACTTCGCGCTGTGACTTGTGTACCGTCGCTGCTTTTGTGGTCACGCCGCAGGCTGGTGGAGATCGCGCCCTCTGTCACAGTGGGGCACCACTGGGCGCTCTTCAGCAGATGCCTGGCGTACAGCAAGGCGGCGCTAGACCCCTACGTGTACTCTCTGCTTCGCCGCCAGTACAGGAAGGTGTGGGAGAAGCCACTCGACAAAGTTCTGAGGCGAGAGCGCCATAAGTGCCACGCGCACCCAAGCTCCCAGGACACGGAGAACGACAGCGCCTGTCAAAGAGCAAACTTGAGATAACGCATTATTATTATTTTTTATATAGAGTATATTTAAGAGAATAATATATATGTTGGGGTGGGGGGAGCGGCGGGGGGGGGGGGGTCAGGATCAAAGATAATTGCAGTGCCATGATGACACATTGTAGAGAAGCAAGGGTTTTTCAATATTCGGGTCCTCGCGACCCAGCACATCGTGGGTGAGTGCACTGTACCACGTGGGACCCTCGCTACCCCCACGTTAATGATTGATACGCACGTGACGAGGAGCGTGCCGTGTCAAATAAATGAGGATGCGTGTTATCGGTAATTTCTATACCACGTGGGACACACGTCCAGTCGCATAACGGTCGATCTTGGTTTTGAATCCGCTTGTTTACCCAAATGAGACGCGTGCAGCGTGTAAAGACTTCGTCTTTGTAGTTGGACGGAAGAGGCAGGGCAAGGTGAAGAGGTACCGTAGAGGGTCGTGAGTTTTGAGACGCCACGATGTAGAATAGCACATACGAACTACAGGCGATGGATGGATCACAAACGGACATCAGTGCACGCCACGCAACTCCGTGCATTATGCTGAATGGTCAGTGGCATAGCTATCGAGTGTGCAGGCGGTGCAATTGCATCGGAGCCCAAGACTCTTAAGGGTCGGGTTACGAAGAAGTAACATTGGACAGGATGTACCATAATTCATTCCTTACACCAAAACCCATACCAACCACGCTACCCCACTGTAAACGAGTGTCCATAAATGGGTCTGTGGCACTGGTGGGCAAGGATGGCTTTGCATTATCATTTAGACACACACCACCAGAATGAATGAATTATTTATAGGGGCGTTGGCCCCTCGCCTTGTGGTGCAAGGGGCTAAGGCGTGACGCGTATACCTCTTGGTGTGTTGAATGTGCCTTGGTTTGGATCCCAGCATTAGGTCTACCGAGGACGTTACACACAAGGGCTTAATTTCCCATGGGATACTTTCCAGGGCTTAGCCCCAGGCGGATTTGGATGAACTTAAGCCCTGTTATTCAGGTGACTTCATGTTGTAGAAACCACACGTCCAAGAGGAGGAAATGTATCCTGTCGTGGCCAAGAGAGGGGCACGCGATTCGTGTGGCCGCGTGGCTCAGATTGCAGGCGACGTGCGATTGAGATTATGGAGGTGTTTTGCGCACAAAAAAAAGCCTTGCAATCAAGCCTGGGACTGAGTGACTTTCTGGGGAGTGGGGGGAGGAGTGCTGGATCATGCTATCACCACAACTTGACACGACGCGTTGCTGCTCCTTTCAGTTCGTAAAGACGTTGCCAACTAGATGATATACCTTTTATTATTTAGACGGCTGGATCGTCTTTTGTTCTCATGCTCCCGAAAGCCGGATTTCACGGAGCCAAAATGGTTCAAATCCTGCCCTAGAAATAGACGTTAAAGACCGCCACCCCTCCTCCCCCCCCCCCCTTTCATAACATTCCAAAAATACGACTCGGGCCAATTTGTACCAAGGATATATATATTTTTTCCAGAGAGCCAATGTCACCCAATGCCGAAAATCCAAAATTTCCCAGAATGCGTCCGATCTTTGTCACATCTCGGAAGCCAAAGCAGAGTTAAGCCTGGATAGCGCTTGGGTGAGGATGGAGGAGGGGGTCGGCAAACACAATAACAAAAAGAGTATTTTTTTTTTCAAATTTGGTAACAACCACGACAAAAATAAAAGCTCAGTATTTCAAGAACCGCAATGCATGCGAAGACGAAATAAAAAAAAAAACGTCACGAAGCGGTCCGTAAAGAGCCGCGTGACCACCGCGCATAAAACATGCGTCATGTGCTGCTCCATTGTGGGCAGTAGAGTGCAGTGCAACAAAAAAAAACATTAGTCTGCTGTACTTGTATGCTCCCATGTCTTTCTCCGCCTCCCCCCCCTTCTTCACCATCCGGCACTGACCCATCGTAGGGAAGTTTGGTCAAATAACCCCCCCCCCCTCCGCCACAACCCCTCACCCCCACCAAACACTGTCCCTCATCAAGCAGTGGATTGACAAAACGCCCCGAACAAAACACACAGCTAAAGTTTCTTCAATGAGCTCTCGCCTGGATAGACATCACACATACAGGTAGACATTATACATACAAGTACACACACACATACAAGTAGACACACACATACAGGTAGACATTACACATACAAGTACACACACACATACAGGTAGACACACACATACAGGTAGACATTACACATACAAGTACACACACATACAAGTAGACACACACATACAGATAGACATTATACATACAAGTAGACACACACATACAGGTAGACACACACATACAAGTAGACATTATACATACAAGTAGACATTATACATACAAGTGCACACACACATACAAGTAGACACACACATACAGGTAGACATACATACAGGTAGACATTATACATACAGGTAGACATTATACATACAGGTAGACATTATACATACAGGTAGACATTATACATACAAGTAGACACACACATACAGGTAGACATTATACATAAAAGTAGACACACACATACAGGTAGACATTACACATACAGGTAGACATTACATATACAAGTAGACACACACATACAGGTAGACATTACACATACAAGTACACACACACACATACAAGTACACACACACATACAAGTACACACACACATACAAGTAGACACACACACACATACAAGTACACACACACACATACAAGTACACACACACATACAAGTAGACATTACACATACAAGTAGACACACACATACAAGTACACACACACATACAAGTACACACACACATACAGGTAGACACACACATACAAGTACACACACACACATACAAGTAGACACACACATACAAGTACACACACACACATACAAGTACACATACAAGTAGACACACACATACAAGTACACACACACATACAGGTAGACATTATACATACAAGTAGACACACACATACAGGTAGACATTATACATACAAGTAGACACACACATACAAGTACACACACACATACAAGTACACACACATACAAGTAGACACACACATACAAGTACACACACACATACAAGTACACACACATACAAGTAGACACACACATACAAGTACACACACACATACAAGTACACACACACATACAAGTACACACACACATACAAGTACACACACACATACAAGTACACACACATACAAGTACACACATACAAGTACACACACACATACAAGTACACACACATACAAGTATACATTACACATACAAATACATACACACACACATACAAGTACACACACACACACATACAAGTAGACACACACATACAGGTAGACATTACACATACAAATAGACACACACATACAAGTAGACACACACATACAAGTACACACACACATACAAGTACACACACACACATACAAGTACACACACACATACAGGTAGACATTATACATACAAGCAATAGGCATCATTTAGAAGACGACCCAACCGATTGGTCGGTGGGGAGCGGGATAACTGCCTAGGGACCGCGGTTAGGGGACCAGGTGGGGGGGGGGGGGCTAGAGGTCGTGGGGGTTACGAACACGCGCAGCCAGTCCTTGTGGTGTACTAACTCGATATGGTTCGTGTACTCACACGCGTCGGGGTGTCGCTTTGTACAGCACAATGGTGGTTGGCTGAGCATTGCCAGCCAATGTTAAACTTTTTTTTTTAAACGCAAGCCCGTCATTCCACACTAAGTGAATGACGTCACCACTGCGCTTGTGCCAGGCTAGGTGCACACAGAGCTCGTCGTGGTCCTCCCACACTGGCCGTTTAATCGTCGTCGTTACCGATGTTGAACTTTTAGAACTACTCGTTTTACATGGAACATGTGCAATCTTCGTCGTGCGCAGATATATATACGAAATAGGTGTCGTTTATACGTGGAGTTTTATAAAAACTATTATTTTCTTTAACCGCTACCGTTGAAAGTAATAATGACTTACTATTATTATTAAATGTTTTACAAAAAGTATAACTGTACGAAGCTCAGATTCTCATTCACTACTGTACAGTATTTATATATATGGAGATGTTTGTGTGTGACTAAATGGACACGGAATAAAACGCGCTGCGTAAAAGTCTTGAGTCTCGCCTCTCGTTCAAATGTCGTCTCTTCCACGTGCCAATAAAAATCACATTTCTAGGCCACCAGCGCGTTGGCTTTCTGCACGAGCGCCTTGCAGCATACATCTGTTTAAGACTGAACCGTTTTGTTTTTAGTTCGTCGTCTAAATCACCAATCAACTGCTGAAATATGTCCACGATGCCCATCATCACGCGGCCATGCTCTATCCACCGTTTGGATGAAGGCCATCCCCACCCCCGTCCTCAACCCGCACGGCGGTTCCTCCGATGCCACGAACCATCTCAGCCTCGCACGGGAGCCGCAGTGGTCGTCCTCTCGGGGGACAATTCCTCTCCTGGCTGTCACTCCTTCACGCTCCTGCATCGCCTTAAAGGAGGCCCTTCCGACGGCGATGCGGCTCGCCCAAGTTACGTCCTACGACGGGTCAGTGTACGAAGTCCGACGCGCTCATGGAATACCGTTGTTTATTCATTGACGCAGACAAGACTATTGTCAAGACATTCGTGCCATTGCTCGACATATTTCCACCCGTCGCAGACGGATGGCCGGCGCAGGAGGAATCCTTCGCGACGGCATGCACACGAGCTGTCGTGAATCCTTGAACTTGACACGCAACGCACCGTAGGGGGCTTAGAAGAGCGGTCGCCAAAAGGAAGAAGGGGAAAAAAATCCTACACGGTTCACAGGGAGGACCTTTTAAAGCCAGCTCTCAGCGACGTCACACTGTTAAACTCGACATGTAAAATTTACTGCATGCCAGAACACGTCAAATCAAAAGTGCCTCTCTGGCTAAGAAACGGCTAAATAAAGAGGCCGCCTAGAGCTCACCTCTAATATAGGCAGACATATTGGGAGGTGCGAGTACCCACACTTTAGCCTACCAGCTACCACTCACGTACCCACACTTTACCCTACCAGCTACCACTCACGTACCCACACTTTACCCTACCAGCTACCACTCACGTACCCACACTTTACCCTACCAGCTACCACTCACGTACCCACACTTTAGCCTAACAGCTACCACTCACGTACCCACACTTTACCCTAACAGCTACCACTCACGTACCCACACTTTACCCTACCAGTTACCACTCACGTATCCACACTTTACCCTAACAGCTACCACTCACGTACCCACACTTTACCCTACCAGCTACCACTCACGTACCCACACTTTACCCTACCAGCTACCACTCACGTACCCATACTTTACCCTACCAGCTACCACTCACGTACCCACACTTTACCCTACCAGCTACCACTCACGTACCCACACTTTACCCTAACAGCTACCACTCACGTACCCACACTTTACCCTAACAGCTACCACTCACGTACCCACACTTTACCCTACCAGCTACCACTCACGTACCCACACTTTACCCTACCAGCTACCACTCACGTACCCACACTTTACCCTACCAGCTACCACTCACGTACCCACACTTTACCCTAACAGCTACCACTCACGTACCCACACTTTACCCTACCAGCTACCACTCACGTACCCACACTTTACCCTACCAGCTACCACTCACGTACCCACACTTTACCCTAACAGCTACCACTCACGTACCCACAGTTTACCCTAACAGCTACCACTCACGTACCCACACTTTACCCTACCAGCTACCACTCACGTACCCACACTTTACCCTACCAGCTACCACTCACGTACCCACACTTTACCCTACCAGCTACCACTCACGTACCCACACTTTACCCTACCAGCTACCACTCACGTACCCACACTTTACCCTACCAGCTACCACTCACGTACCCATACTTTACCCTAACAGCTACCACTCACGTACCCACACTTTACCCTACCAGCTACCACTCACGTACCCACACTTTAGCCTAACAGCTACCACTCACGTACCCACACTTTACCCTAACAGCTACCACTCACGTACCCACACTTTACCCTACCAGTTACCACTCACGTATCCACACTTTACCCTAACAGCTACCACTCACGTACCCACACTTTACCCTACCAGCTACCACTCACGTACCCACACTTTACCCTACCAGCTACCACTCACGTACCCATACTTTACCCTACCAGCTACCACTCACGTACCCACACTTTACCCTACCAGCTACCACTCACGTACCCACACTTTACCCTAACAGCTACCACTCACGTACCCACACTTTACCCTAACAGCTACCACTCACGTACCCACACTTTACCCTACCAGCTACCACTCACGTACCCACACTTTACCCTACCAGCTACCACTCACGTACCCACACTTTACCCTACCAGCTACCACTCACGTACCCACACTTTACCCTAACAGCTACCACTCACGTACCCACACTTTACCCTACCAGCTACCACTCACGTACCCACACTTTACCCTACCAGCTACCACTCACGTACCCACACTTTACCCTAACAGCTACCACTCACGTACCCACACTTTACCCTACCAGCTACCACTCACGTACCCACACTTTACCCTACCAGCTACCACTCACGTACCCACACTTTACCCTACCAGCTACCACTCACGTACCCACACTTTACCCTACCAGCTACCACTCACGTACCCACACTTTACCCTACCAGCTACCACTCACGTACCCACACTTTACCCTAACAGCTACCACTCACGTACCCACACTTTACCCTAACAGCTACCACTCACGTACCCACACTTTACCCTACCAGCTACCACTCACGTACCCACACTTTACCCTACCAGCTACCACTCACGTACCCATACTTTACCCTACCAGCTACCACTCACGTACCCACACTTTACCCTACCAGCTACCACTCACGTACCCACACTTTACCCTACCAGCTACCACTCACGTACCCACACTTTACCCTACCAGCTACCACTCACGTACCCACACTTTACCCTACCAGCTACCACTCACGTACCCATACTTTACCCTACCAGCTACCACTCACGTACCCACACTTTACCCTACCAGCTACCACTCGCGACCAGATTGACTTACTGGCCAGGAGGTGGGCCGGGGAGGATGGTGGGGGGGAAGGAGGAGGGGGGGAGAAGGGGGAGAGTTG